TTTTTTTTTTTTTTTGCCAATCGTTAAAGAAATAAATCTTTTTATTTTTGGTTTGCATTTGAGTTTCTAGGCTTGATCCCTCTATTGATAGAGTTTTAAAGCCTGAAAATCTATATATATATATATATATATTAAAGCAAAAAACATTCAAGGTAACTGAGGACAAATGTCATCTTAATAGGCTTTTCTGTATTTATAATTTTTTGATGCGTGTCTTGTTTTTTTATTTTGGGAAAATTAAATACTTTTGTTTCTCTGATTTTTTTTACACTACTGCATTTTTATGTCCCCTTCCATTCCTCCACCGCCTCTTCCACTATCCATCTTCCTTTCCCTCTTTCAAAAGGTTCTTTTGTAAAACATTTCAAATTCTCCAAAACCTCTCTGATCTTGCTTGTCTCTTTTCCCATGGATCCCTCTTTGTCTTTCACCTTCTCTATGTTCAAACCGATCAGACCTCTTTTGCCATTCATCTTACCTATTTTCACTTTGATTAGACTCTCTTTGTCGTTCCCCTTTCTCCCTTTTATTACTCTTTCCCTCTTCATCGTCTTCACTGTATACTACAACTCCACAATTGAAGAGAGCTTGGATTAGCTTGCCACTTGATCATCTCTCTCATCTTTTTCTTCATTAATTCATCATAGCTCTGTTCAGAAGGCACTGAAAGCAAATGCGATGTTGCTTGAACCCATTCAATTGATGGATGAAATCCACCGATGATCTATGCGTCGTCGTTCATCCATCGTCTTTTAGGTTTGAAAATTCAATTCATTATTTGGGCTAATATTAATTTGAAAAGATTATCAATTACTCTATGCTTACTAAAGTAGATATAATTCAATTGATATCTTAATTATTCACTTACAGGGAAGAAGTTGATCAAGTCAAGCATGAAGAGCCATTGCAATCTAAAGTAAAAGGAAAAATAGAAAAAAGAACAGTAAAGGTAATAGTGATTTGAAGAGAATCCCTACCCAACTATATATGTATTAACGTATGAAATATGATCTAATTTGATTAATTTCTTAATATTGGAGGGATCATTTTATTATTTCTTTTATAATCATATTTATTTCTTAATTATTTGCAATGTAGGGGTTAATCATGATGAATGTGTTTGGAAAGTTAGTAGAGAAACATGGATCTAATATTTGGTCCTAAGGAGTTTCAATTGCATCATTGTCTTCTAATTTCTAATAGTTTCTAATGCATGCAATTTGATTACCTTCAGGATTTGTATTTATAGGTAGAAATGGAATGGCAGTCCTCTCTAAGAAAAGGATAGAGAATTCAAATCCTTAAACAAACTTCTTAAGTTGGAATACCGAAGCCTTTTTACCTGTATTATAAGTAGGGAGCTTGCTATATTCACAATTTCAAGTTAAATCTTTTCCCATGACAAATAATCTTGTCTTTACCACCCTAGATTATACCTGTCTAGCTGTCTCTCTAAAATCATTTTCCATTGCAAATTCTACTCTATAAATTTTATGCTTCTTTATTTTTCCCTGTTTCTAATTGGTAATTGCATTTATAAACTACAATTATATTATTGTAGGTGTTACTGTTGCATGCTCTATATGAGGCGACCCGCCAACTCATTACATGGTTAAGATACAATTATTTTCCCTAAAAAATCTCAATATAAAAATATGAATCTATAGATGTTGAGGTTGGAGGCTACAAATGGTACAGTTCTTTTCTTTGTCTTCACTACATGATTACATACTTTAGCCTTATGATTAAAAGTAAATGTGTTTATCTCATGTAGGAACTTCATACTCTTTCTATGAAAATATATATATATATATATATATAGTAAATTGATTCTTTACCCAAGTGGAATATAAATATTTAAATTTAAAAATGGATTATATTAATATATAATCAATTTTTAAATTTAAATATTACTATTTAACAAGATAAATTTGTAAAATTTAAATTGAGAATTTAGTTTTCAAATGAAAGTTTGGATTTTAATTTTTTTTTTTAAATCGAGACTAATATACATTGACCTTATATTTTAAAATATTATAAATTAATTGATTAAAAAATTTATCCCATATATTTTATTTCTCTTAAAACCAAATATACTCTAATTAAAGTGGTTTAAATTATTTTTTGCCACCCTATTAGTTTAAATGAGAAGGCTATCTTTGCTCTATAACTATAAAATGGAAAAATTAAAGTGGAGAAAAATAACCTAAAGTATGGTCAAATTAGTTGGTGCTTTAGGATTTTTTTTTTTTTAATTTGAATTGCATAATACAAAAGAAATTATCTTTCATTTTTTAATTTATATCAAGATAATTGAACTCAAAATCACTTTTAATTTATATCAAGACAATTGAACACAATATCACTTATTTCTATGGGAAAAGAAGAAGAAGAAACAACTACTAAACTAGTTTACTCGTGGGTGAGGCCTTAGTAATTGAATTTGAGTATATGTACAAAAGAGTTACAAAGCTAGGGATAAACCATTCAATCACCACTCGATCATTCCATCTTTATGCTGTCAAATTCATTGTGGCAATTCTAACATATAACGATTTCATAATAATACAATACAAGCCGATAAGTTTCTCTGCAATTGCATTCTATCTTTCTCAAAATTTGAAGGCAATACTTTTAAATTGAGGAGATTAGCTCAGAGATGGGTGATTATTCTTCTAGGTGGAAAGCCCGGATGATCAGCTAGTGTGACCATAAGTTGTGAGACTTCCTCTGTACAGATATTGACTTGACTAGTGATCATCTGGGGAAAACATACATAGGACCTATGAGAACAATGGCTGTGGACCAGGTCTAAATAAAGTGAATCTGGAAGGCAACAAGTCTGAGGCAGCAAAGGAAAAAAAAAAGGAAAAAAGAAAAAGAAAGAAAAGAAATTTGCGTGGCGTGGCCTAACACTTTGTTGTCTGATAACCCTTAAAAATCATCTGGGCTCAGCCCCTTTCGTAATTCTGGGTCTAATACTTGGAAACGTTACAGTTTCCCAAACAGAGGAATGGCCTAGGCCCAAAACATGGCCCAGTTCTTGCAAATTCCAGCGACTTCGTATTTCTTGGTTGTTCTAGGGTACTTGTATATTTATTATTTGTAAGTATTTTATTTATTTAGGTAAAAATTATATCTTAATTATAAAAAAATTAGATAAGTAATGATTATGAGAATAGTATATTTATAAATATTAAGTCAAACAACAAAAATATGGATTTAGAATTATTTATCTAATTCATTTGACCAATTTATTCAACTGATATGTTATTTTTATTTATATAATTTAAATTTTATCTATATTTATTCTACTTGATATTAATATAATAACAATAATTTTTAAAAATAAAAATAATAAAATACAAAAATAGAAATAAAAGTTAAGTAAGGCTAGTAAATCAAACAAATCACATAGAGTATAATAATTACTTATATAAATAATAAATTTTAAATCAAACACATAACAAATGCAGCAATAGTAACTTATGCAACACCTTTTTTTCCCTTAAATCAAGCACAAAAGTGTATACTTGTAAGTTAACTGATATTTATTAGGTTAGGTACCAAGTATAAGTTTTTAAATATATAGGTGACTATTAAATCTAAAAATATGTATCTAAAAATTTTCAAATCAAATATTAAATATAACTCATAGACAACCTGTACCTAAAAATGCTCACCCTTAGTTCTCATAATATCCTTCCATTTCTCATCTATCAAAAATGGAAATAACATATGCTCTCCTTGCAGCTAACCGTATGCCATACTCCAAAGCAATTGCTTCAGTCGTTAATGCTGTGCTAGCATTCTCATTTCCATGTTCCTCATCTATTAATCAGGTTACCATGACAGTCCCTTACAATGTCACCATAACCCCCAATAAAGTCTGGTGATGAACATTAATCTTCAAATACCCCATGTCTAGCTTATACCTTTTGTTCTTGTTATTATTTAGTTCCCACTAATTTGCCATCACCAGAAACATCTAGTTTCTTTCCTTCACATAAAGCTGCACCTGCCCACCCATTTTGTCAAATAGTTGAACAAATATAAGCACCTACAGGAGCCAAATGTTTCCTAACAGACCTGGATACCATTTTATCACCAAGAACGACACTAATTTGTTGGAACTTAAGTATTTTAATAAAAAATAAAATAATATATTTTATAAATTAAATTTATTGTTCCATTAAGGATTTGGTCAAACTAACCATTGTGGGTTAATTGTCCTATTTAAGGGCACATTATTTCATAATAATTGCCCAATTTATTTCTACCATTAACCTACAAAAGGGAGTTACAAGACCATGAGTCCTATAAATAGGACATGTCTTTTGCTCAAAATGGTTGTTCCTTCACATTCTCCTATTTTTCTTACCTTGCTTTATCCTCTAAATATTCTTGGGTGAAGAAGAGTGTTTTGAGTTAGGTGACTCTATGAATAGTGCAGATTTATAGAGTGTAATTATAAAGCTGTAGTATCCTGGGGGCGACATGCTTAATATATCTCTGCTGCATCGGTTGATCTACTCTCCGCAGAGGCGTGAATCGCCTTAAAGTAAGTAAGCTTTTCACGCCTATTTCGATGATATTTTATTTTCGATATTTCTTGATAAGTTCACTAATTATAATTTACTTGATTTTGTGACCGAGGCATAACAATGACGTGATGTGGAGATGGAGGAGAATGCTCGAGGAACAACATAATTAACCAGGTATCCATAGAAGTAAAACAAGGAGATACAGGCCTAAAATATGATAGGCAATTCCTTGTAAATGGTACCTTTTAACTCAATTGATTGGCTTACTTAATACAAGACAAGACAACACTATTTAAACTATACTCTTGAAGCATACCTTCAGGAGGACCCCTTACATTTCTTAAGACTCTTAAATACGATTTAAGAG